CCTCGAGCCCTGAAGCAGCCCTTAGCGCCTCGGAGGCTGGTGGGCTGTGGAAGCAGCAGCACCCGCCAGTGAAGCCCGGGCAGGTCTCGGTGCAGGAGGAAAGGGCACAGCAGGTTCAGAACAGACCCCCGCCACGCCCCCTTCCCAAACTCAACACCTGGTGGGCCGGCTTATGCTGACTGGCACTTCAGACTTGGATTACCCAGCCTGGGGGCAGGAGCCAGAGGGGCTCTGGGCAGGGCAGCAGCTCTGGGCAGGGATGCGGAGCAGGGCAGGACCCTGCTGGCCCGCCTCAGCTGCGCGCTTACACTGAGTGACAGGCAGGCCTGGTCTGTCTTGGGTCTTCCAGCTGTGGCTCTAGGAGTTCAGAGCAGCCAAGCTGGAGACGTGCAGGGAAGGGCAGTGGTGCCCGACGTGGGGGCGGGAGTTTTGGTGCTTCAAGAGCCTGCTGGACACCGTGTTTGCTCCCGGCTGGGTGTGCTCTGGGGGGAGCAGTGTCAGTGGTAAGTCTGCATTTTCCACGCCGACCTGAGGCTCTGACCAGCTGAGCCTCCCAGGCAACGTCTCAGATGTGGGTGGAGTCACAGAGCGGAGGACAAGCTGGGAAGGACCCTGGGAGTCCCAGGCCCAGAGGAGTGGCAGCGCCTGGTGGGGCTGAGCAGTGGACGGTTCGCAGATTCACTCCGCGTGGTTTTAATGTCCCGGCCAAGACAGCAGTTCGTGAGGTCGCCAGGTGGTCACGAGCCCCCATGCTTTCACTCAGTCAGCGTCAGACACCTGCGCTGGGCTAGACACTGTTCTACGTTTATTGTTCACCTTCTGGTCAACAGCAAGACGGATGGAATGAGTGAACAGCTACATAATATTGTCCCTTTCTTTGCAGATAAAGCTTTTAGGACAGAGCCCCTGGAGATTGGGCTCTGCGGGCAGCAGTGGGCGCCTCACTGAACTGCGCTTCCATTCTCCAGGCCTCAAATGATGGTCTGGACTCAATGGTCTCAAGGACTCTTTCCCACTCCGACATTTGAAAATCCTTATCATCAGACACCCAGCCTCGCCTGGCCAGCTGTTCTGAGCAAGGCAAGGGGAACAGGAGACGTGACAAAGGTTAAGACCCCATCATGCATTTCGGACGCTGCCATGTGCTTGAGCACATAAGAGAATCGCATGTCCTGGAGGAATGCTGGTGGGTGTCATGTCCACCCCCAGGTAACGCATAAAAACGCTAAAAAAATCCAAGATGCGGTCACCCTGCCTCTCTGCGAACACCCCAAACGAGGAACTTAGTGCTCTACAGGGTATTCACTAAGCCAGTCAACACAAAGGGCTCTAGTAACTCAGGGTCTGGTGGACAGTCTGAGGCCTTCATGTGAATGTCAAGGTAAGTTCTACCAGGTATCCAGATTAGGAGCTGGCAAACCTCTACTTTGGTGCCAGAGGGAAGGGGTGAAAGCGAAGGGAAGCAGGAGTGCAGTGCCTACGCCTCGCAATAGGTAACCTGGGGCGAGCTGCTGAGCACCCGCGTCTCAGCCCCTCATGGAAAACTGGCTGCTGGAAGGACGGATGAGCCCCAGTGTGTGAAGGACTCAGCGCGAGGCAAGCGCTCATGATTAAAGGTAGGAAAGTCTGACAGACGGCAGGCTAGAGTTCAGAAAGGT